AAGAAAGAGTCGTCACTGCCACTCTGTGAGTTCCCCTTATGTTTCTTTTTGTTTTATTCATGTTCGTGGAGGATCAATGATGAAAAAAGGAGAAGGTGGACGATTGGTCTAAATCAGTGAGCAGTGGTATGATTGGTGATCATATGAGGGCCGTCCGTTATTGCCAGTGAAGGAATTTCGATCAACTGCTCAAAAAGAAGAGCTTTGTTGGACAACCCCCATATGAGCTATAGTTGGATCAATGCCATCTCTCCCCCGACCCTTTAGACGCTCTGTCAGTTCACCGCCCCACCGGATTCGGGATTCCGTCAGATTGCCAGCGTTTGCTGAGCTCAGCAGTAGAAATACACCTGCAACATGAATTCAACCAAACCACCAGGGCCACCAGGGCAACCACTCTACTTGTAGCTTCTCGCGCGACTCGCGCCAGCCGCCACTCCTAGGTGCTTCATGGATGGGAGACTTGGAGCATCTTCCCGCGCCTCTACATCAAGGCCGTTACATCATCAACATCAACGGACAACGTTTGGAGAAGATGTGTTTGTGTTTGGAGCCACATGGAGATTGGTGGTGTTTGGTCCCTATATAAATGAGTGGATGTGACAGCGGTACCCCGACTTCCTCCATGGATAGCACCCCTTTGTGACTGCTGGTGTTTGCATTGTTTTCTTCGGTTGCCCATTGGATGGCTATAGAAGTTGCCCGAAGAGTGAATGGTTTCCAATTGTGGATCGACCAGGTGGATTGAGTATGTTTGATGTGAGGTTTCCCTTCCTAAAGGAAAGAGAAAACACATGGCCACAGAAAGGAACAAACATCAAAAGGACAAAAGAAACCAGAACCTATGAAACCCTTTTCTTTGTGACTCGAAAACATTTGAGGCTACTAGAGTTCTAGGTCTCTTTCACACTCTGGCATGATGCATCAGAGAGCTTCAAAGTTTTCAGAGGCCAAATTCCCCACATCGCTCGTTGCTCCCACGATGAAACACCCCCTAAATCTCAGTTAATGATCTAAGATGGTAAGACACGACCCATGGGACTGCCAGGACGGACTGCCGATCACCTGGGGTGAAGATCTTTTGGGGGGACAGGATGCCAGTCCCATGGAGCACGTCAGTGATCACTCGCCCCATCCGAGCGAGCGTGGCGACGGAGCCGTTTGGGGTGGACGGAGTCGGTGGGGCACCCCGTGTCGGATCTGATCCGGACTTCTCCCCCTGCAAACCGGTCGAGTCGACACCGATTTTCCACGCGCCCGAAAGGGTTCTGCCGCGCGCGCGGGCCACTTCCATCGCTTTGGATATTTCGGGTCATCTTATAAAAAGAGGATCGAGTCCTAGTCCTAGCCAGGAAGCACGTGGATCACCGGCCTTTTTGTGGACGTTTGGGGACACCACTTTAAACAAAAGCTTGGTGGAAAGTTCGCTTATCCTGAGGTATATTGTACTGGCCTATACTGGAATCCATTGGAATCCTATATCCAATCCCAGCACTTGATCAGCTAAGGAAGCCACTCTCCCAAAGCCTGCATCATCTCCCCCCCAAACAAAAGAAAGAACACCGTGATGTACCACAGGGATGGCCACGGCCGCCCTCCATCACCCGACCCTCCATCTCCGCCATTCTCAACGAGACACACCAGACTCTCGCGGCGCCATCTGTGCACCGAGCCGCCGCCATGGCCAGCTTCATCGCCTGTTTAGGTCAGGCCCTGTTGCCCGACGGCTCAGTGCCACCCCGGCAGCGAGTTCCCGCCAGTCTGCGAGGTCGTTCGGTTTTGTTTGAACTGAACCCGACTTCAAGTAGTACCTTAAGAACATGGAACATGACCCAGCCAAAGAACAGCTACGAACTGTGACTTCCATCCGCTCGGGCACCTGAAGAACCGGCCATGTGCAATGACAGCATGGTCCCAAATCCACAGCTTGGACATACCTGACAGCCAGACAGCTCCGGAGCGATCGCTCCAAAGACCTTCATGAACAGGAGCCCCCAAAAAAGGGATGGCTTCAACCAGAACACTTATGCACATACCTGAACACCCGGCCTGCACTTCAAAGCACCTGGCCTGAAGGACTTTAGGTTGGAGGCAATTACTATTAGGTTAGAGTCTAAGAGGCCATCACTCTTAGGCTCTTGGGTTGGTCACTCTTAGGCTTTTAGGTTGGAGGCCATCACTCTTAGGCTTTTAATGTCGACTTCAGATTTATAAATATCCCTTGAATAAAGCTAAGCAAATCCCAGAACAGATTAATAAATTCCCCCAAAATAAAGCTAAATGTGTTCACCCCTGGCCCTAGGTATCCCAAATCCAGCCTTTAAAAAAATGTCCTGTTCATTCCCCTTGATGAACTCTTCTTCAAGTAGCTGACATGGAAAAAGATCCAAATGAACCTAGGGTGATTTCTTTTAAAATCCCTTATT